TGCGAGTAGTGAGAGGCGCGCTCTGTGCCCGGCCGATATATGACCCCAATGAACCGCTCCAGGCGGGTATTTTCAGCGGCCATCGCCGTACGCAAAGCAGGATCGAGGTGTTCCTTGCGCAGATCAATCACAAAACTCGGGATCCCCGTATCGTGGGCGATGATCTCCCAGCTATCATCACGAGACGGCCGCACCTTCATCACCTCCATATCGTCGTCCCAGTCTTGGGCGGCGGCCACGGTGCCGGTATGCGTGCCACATCCGAGGATTGCGACATTCTCGCGGCCAAAGTTTTCTCGGATCAGCTGGCCGATATTGACCTCGTTGCGGCGCGTACCCATGCTGGTATAGCGCGCATCGCCGCAGTGCGAGTTGTGCGCCCAGACGATGGCCTTGGCGTCTGTGGGCTTGTGCCGGAACAGTCGTCGCAGCGTATCAAACATGTGCGTGTCGCGCAGCGTCCATGAGGAGGCGGAACTGTAGTACATGGCCTTGTAGTACCGCTCTGCATCGCGAACGACAAACGCGTTCTGCTCGCTGCTGTGGAACTCATCCCCGTCGTGCACATCGTGTTGCGCGTATTGCAGCCGCTTTTCCAGCAGGTCGCGCAGCATCTGCACCACCGCGCCCTCGCAGTCCTTCATCCCCCGGAGCGCGGCCAGCCCGTACGCGGAAGGATCGTCCACCCAGGGCTGGAGGCAGCCGTACCGGCGGCGAGCCTCCTTGCCCGCGGGTGGATCCACCCGGTCCAGGTAATCGATGACGGCGTGGATCGACGCGCCCATGCTGTAGAGATCCAAGCCGTAGATACCGGCCTTCTTCTCGTCGGGCAGTTTGGAGTTGCGGTCGCGCATCCACTCGACGAGATCCTGCATCTCGCGGTTGCGCCACATCCAGGTGGGAAACCGGTTGAAGGGCTCGAGGTCGCGGGCCTTACCGCCAATGCCCGCCTTGGGGCCGGGACGCTGGCGGACGTAGCGATCGATGGCCTCGGCGTCGGGCCAGTCCGCCTCGAGGGCCACTATTGTGTAGCCATGGTGCTCGATGAGCCGCTTGGTTATCTCCGCGCGCGCGGTGTAGAACTCCGACGTGCCATGGCTGCCGTCGCCTAGTAGCACGACCTTGTAACTTCCAAAGTCATCAAAATGTGAGCCGAAGCTGGGGTCCGAGATGGGGGGCAGCGGGCGGGCTGCCTGGGTGAAAAGTTGCTGGAGTTGCGCCATAGGCCGAGAGCGAGTAAAGAATCGTCGAACAGACTTCATGAATCAAGTCATTGTCGATGGCAAGGAGTCGATATGCGCCTCGACTACTAAATACTCCAATATTAATACTAGTGGTGGCCAGCGGCGAATGAAATCACCTCCTCGTCAACTCTACTATCATCATGACTTCACCACAGCATATCGTACCATGAACCTCAACAAACGCATTATTATATCGTGTAGCCCCAAAGATGAGAATCGAAATCTCTCGCAAATAAGCAATGAATAATCTCCGCAGAGTCTTGCCCAGATTTAGATCCCTATCAGCTAGAGTATTGACAATAAAAAACCGTACCCTCACAATGGCCACACCCACAAGCAGCCCCTCCCCGCGCCTCGACCGCTTCCAACAAGCCGTTGAATCCCTGTACGGCAGCTTCTCCTCCATCCCAGACCCCTACGCCTGGACCCCGCCCCCGAACTCCGGCGGCCACCGCGGCCGCTACCTGTGGACCGACGCCTTCGGCGTCCTCTCCCTAATAACCATGCACCGCGAATACGAGAAGTCGCTGGCTAACGCGGCCCAAGCCCCAGACGATCGGTACCTGGTGCTAGCGCGGCGCGTCGTGGAGACGGTGCACGAGGTCCTGGGCTCCACGCGCGACGGCAGGGCGCGGCTGCCCGGAGCGACGGAGGAGAATCCGCTCGGCGGCGGGTTGCGCATCGGGAAGATAGACGAGCGTGGCCCGGACGCGGACGGCCAGTACCACCACTACCTGACGGTGTGGATGTTTGCGCTGAACCGGCTGTCGCTGGCGACGGGGGACCCGGCGTACAACGAGCAGGCGGTGGCGCTGGCCAAGGCGATCCACCCGCGGTTCTTTGTGCATCGCGAGTCTACACGGCCGCGGATGGTCTGGAAGATGGCGATGGATTTGTCGGCGCCGCTGGTGGCTTCCGAGGGGAATCTGGATCCCATCGACGGGTATGTGGTGTTCCGGTTGCTGCAGGGGGCGGCGATGCAGGCGGGTGGACGGGCGGTGCTGGCCGAGGAGATTGCCGACTACAAGCGGGTCATGGAGCGGAAGGGGCAGCATTTTGTGTCGAGTGATCCGCTGGACCTGGGGATGACGCTGTGGACGGCGCATTGGTTCTCGGAGAAGGAGGATTGGGCGGCGAGGTTGGCGGGGCGGTGCTTTGAGCAGATTTGTATTCCCTGCTTGTTTTCACGTCGGCTGGAAAATGAATGCTGATGGACACAGATGATCTGTTTGAGATCAACCGCTACCTCGAACGCAATATCAAGTACCGGCTAGCGTTCCGCGAGTTCGGGACGTGTATGGGCATCCAGTGTCAGGCGGAACAGACCACCGAGAAGGATCGCGCGGTCGACCTCAAGGTGTACGCCGATGCCATCATCGCGGCCTGGGATCCGTACATGGAGCTGTCTCTCGCGACAGACGTGACGCCAGACGACCTGCGGCCCATCACTCGGATCATGTATGCCGCAGCGTTAATTCCTGGAGGTGAGTAACAACAGCCAGAAAGAACAAGAAGAAACTGACAGCAGGTGCAGCCTTTCGCAGCGGGTATCTGGGTCCTGAGCCGGAGTGTCCAGAAAGTAGGTAAGGCAAAAACTAGCGATGTATACACGGTTGCATTCAGAGTATATATACCGATGCACAGAATGAACTGGAAAAAAAGGCCCCTACTCGTACACCAAGTCTATCATGCATACGTGTTGCCATTCTTATATTCCAGGAATTCCAACGATATCCCTCCAGGACGGCACACTCAACGGCAAGATGTATACAACGTAGACCGTCCCAAGAGCAATCAACAGCCCAGACCACTACGCCATTAGCAATGCATGACCTCTCTTCCCGGATAAGAAAACATACCTTTTCCAACCACGTGTGGAACCAAATCGAGGTCATAAACAGCATCCACCATCCCAAACCCACAACAGCCCCTACCAACCGTAAAGACCAAGTCCGCATCCAGTCACCTTCCTCCTCACTCTGAACTTGTACCTTCTCAGCCTCACTCTGACCAGAAACCTCCCCATCCATCTTCTTATTATCCTCAACACCCACAGAAACAGCCCTCATCGCCCCGACAGCCTCAAAAACCAGCATCGACGTCGCAAGCACAAGCATAAACACATGCCCACTCACATCATGGCCCCCGGCCCACGAACCCCCAGCCGCCTTACAAGCCGCTGCCGTAAACAACTTCTCTAGTCCCGCAGAAACAGACCCCTCCTGCGCAACAGCCATCGCCGGATTCGTCGGTGTCTCCGCCACAATGCGCTCGCATTTCCCGCCCGTAATCACAAAACTGCGGTCGATAATTGGGGGCCCAAAGAACCATTGTGTCGTTAGGTACCACACCAGCGTGGCCAGGCTGTATCGGAGGGCGGCCTGGGCGAGTCGCCGCGGTTGGTGTGTGGAAGTAGCAGTGTAGGCGGGTTGGGAGACGAGCAGGGAGACGAACGCGAGCGTGGTCCAGACCCAGCCAGCCTTGACAAAGTAGAGATTGAAGATGTTGTCCTTGCGAGCGAAGTAGTTGACAGGGTTTGGGGGGGAAAGGTTCACGTTGGCGGCGATGGAGGGGGCCAGTGAAACGGGACGCGCGTGATGGGTTTGCCGGGAGCCTCGGGCTGTGGGAGAAAGGATGGAAAAGAGCGATCCCACAAGTAAGGTCACTGGATAGATAAGAAGAGCCGTCGTTGGAGACCGCATTGTGGTGGTAGATGCAATTGAACGGGGTGATCGCTCTCGTGAGGCCATTCTGCCGGTGTATGTGTCTTGCGGTCGAAATCTTTTTTAATTTCTCTGTGCAAGACGGAACTGGAACTTGAAGAGAGAAAGTGTAATGTTATACAATAATCGACGAAGACAGAACTAGTCTAACATCATTTACCTCTCTATATGCTGTGGTAGATGAAGAAAAGGTTCAAGGATGACGTCGTTGTGTGTCCGGCGAAGTTCTTGGCTTGTACGGAGTAGTGGTCACAACAACCTGGACTGGTACCTGCAGATTATGTCATTCATGAGTCTATCTCTAGAGAAGAATCAACATCAACCGTCTTACAATAATATACCGGACCATACCCGGGTGGCATGTCTATGTCCAGAAGGTCCAGGGATTGAGAGAAATAGCTGTGATAAAATCCATTCATTATCCTTCTGAAGATTACTGGGAGGGCAAACAAGTAAAAAGCAGCATGTCCGCTACCGTCGAAGTACCAAAAAGGTCGAACTTCCTAAGCTAGGCAGTCCCTATTCAATTGAAAGCACACAAGTCGCGAGAAGACCGAGGTATTGTCAAGGGAACAGACATGCTAGGATCTAAGAAAGAAGGACTGGCTGCAGGAAGAGACTAAAGTGAAATGGACTCACCGTGCAATCGCTCCATACTGACAACCCTAGATGATACTACTAGACAGAAGCATGGTATTCTGGTCACCTCCAGACACGGGCATCCATAGGTAATCTACAGCCTGGTGCAAACCTGATGAATCTCAATATTCACTAACTTCACTCCCATAAAGAGTTCGCCATTCACTGTCCATTCTTTATGGAACTCCTTAGCACTACCTATGGTAGTCACTACTTATACTACCCCTCATGTTTCAATTCGTTAGATAAAGAAGAGATGAATCATAATGCATGAGAACAAGTGTTACTACCCTCTATATCAAACTAACCTATTTTATCTGCTGAAGCACGTGCACTCTATAACCCTATCTCACCTGCATCTACATCAACATCTACAGGATACATCTACAACATTATGGACTCTAATACCACTGGCAGTATGCAGCTGCAGCAAGCAGAGTTCCATGTTCCAGCTGAACAAAGCGCCCAGCATGGTCATCATGAGCAGAATCAGCACGAAGGTAGGCCTTCTGCTACCAGCTCGTTCCCAGACTGATCTGACTGTCGATCCGTAGGAATGGAGTCCACATTTCCTTCGGAACTGACCATGTGCTACGAAACACTGAGTGTCAAAGATGCCGATGAGAGAGCCGATGGCCACGTGGAGCAGAGAGGAGAATGCCAGGCTCGTAACGACATGGCCATGCCAGTTTTTGCTCTGGAAGCGGCCGTAGAGAAAGGTAAGGCTGTGTTCAGCGAGCTCCTCGGGGTTTTCAACCAGTCCCATGTGTCGACTGGAGATACGAATTGGCGGGACGCTATCAGTGAACTGCTTTAATCTGCTAGAAAACCGAAAGTCGTGATTGGGGTGCTCGGGGTCACGGGCGCGGGCAAATCATCCCTTATCAATGAGATCATTGATGAGGAGGGGATGCTGGCGACGAACTGTATGCGTGCGGCCATGGCGGTTGCCACCGAGGTCGCTTATAATGATGGCCCTCGGCGATACAAAGCGGAAGCTTTTCAGTTTATCCAGCCTAATGAGTGGAAGAGAGAGCTGGAGATCCTGCGCCATGAGATGCTGGACGAGAATCCGGATATAAACGCCATCAAGACTACCAGGGAGAAGATCAACGCTGTGTACCCTGAACTGAATAACGGGAATCTCGCAGATACCACGATGGATAGGCTGCTTGGCCATCCGCGCCTCGCGAACCTGCTTGGATCCTCGCTCTTCATCGAGGAAGATGACCCTCGGATCTTTGCAGACAAGCTCAAGCCCTACATTGACAGCAATAGCGGAACAGCTCGAAAAGACGCAGGTCTCTTGCCGCTTATCAAGACAGTCCGTCTGTACGTCAAAGCCCAGGCGCTAGCAACTGGCGCGGTCCTGGTGGATCTTCCTGGCCTGTATGACTCGAACGCTGCTCGTGTCGCTGTCGCAGACGACTATCTGAAGCGCTTGGGGCGCAAATCATGGAAAAGAGTGCCCAACGAGTGTCTGAAGAGCTATTCAACATATTGGAAAAGACGGAGGGCAAAATCACTCGTATGATCCGCGCAACCGTGAGAGAGTTGGCGCGCAATTACCACACAGCGATTGTTACACCACAGATCATCAAGCTCTCCGAGCAAGAGTTGAACTGAAATTAGAAATGGCTGAAGCCATTTGCAACGCAGAGCAACATCTCATATTGGACCAACTTAGTCTCAGTGTTGAGGATGGTCCGGCATCAACTTCGGCGGACGGTGGAGACGGGACCACAAGCTAAAGAGCAGACTGAGGATCAAGAGGGCCCAGGGAATAGTTTATTCCGATTCGAAATGTCGGTCTGATCTGAGTACTATAACAATGCCGTGCTCCATTCCAAACCCTTGGGTTCACCCATCGGAACCACAGGATCGGGTACGTGTCGACTTCGGACTCGATTGCGGGCGCTTGGACCAGTGGGTGATTCGCCAATAGTCAATGCTTCAACTGCTGTCAAGCACTATCTAGATAGTAGTTAGTCTAGATCGTCTGTCACTTGCAGATGTGTCCTTATTTTCATGCAATGGAAGATGGAATACCTGCTGTTTTATCCATAGTAAAGTGACAACGTCGGACCTGTCTAGGCTCTTCATCTCGAGGACTTCGTAGATAAAGTGACTCTACCTGCGTCAGAATTATAGCTAACCGCCAGTACTTCTGTCATGTCCACGGAAGAATCGACGAGCTTCCACAAATGCACGCTAAGCCAGCAGTAGCATTTGATCACTTTTACCAGCCTCCTGGTTTTTTCTGTGAGGCTAAGTACATGGGGTGGAGGATTGATCACAAGGTAGATAGATATAATCCAGAGAGGATGATCAGAGAGGATAACAAGTCATCATTAATTTATTAAACTTCATTCTCCGCTAAGATTGTTGATGAATTGGCTGCTCTCTCTCCTCTCTGCTATACAAGGTAACACAAGTACTTGAGAGCACATGACTTTAGCATTAGCAGCAACAACATTTTCTATTATGGCATTCTTCTCCTCCTAACCACATCCCATTCACGACGCTGTGAAAACACCGTGAATTGATTTTGGATATCTGATATTCTTCTTCATCTCTTCCTGTCCATCTTGATATTATTCACTATCGCCTACTCTCACCGGTATAACAGCGGGGGAGTATCCAGATAAACATTTCCACCGCCTTCGTTGACATTCGATACGCTCGACCAATCAGCGACTGCAGTTTTTTATAACCAGAAAAAGACCAGAACAGGAAAACGCCGCAAGAGGAAGAAAAAGAGATGGTTCTTCCTCAACTCTTTGCCCGTCACAAATCCAAGCGGTCCACTTCCTCCAAAGACGATTCGAAGAAGACTTCATCTCCAAAAAGTCCTCCTCTATCGACGGAGACTCTTCCCTCTCGGTCATCCTCGACTTCAACTTCTTCGTCTCGCCACTCCCCCAGTCATCATCCTCATTTTCGCTCTCACTCCACATCCACCGCCGACACCCGTTCCTCTTCCTCATCATCCATTCATCCGCCGTCCTCTCAGTCCTCGAGGTCGTCCAAACCCAAGTCGAGATCTCAGGCCTCCGCTAAATCCAAATCTTCCTCGTCCAAAGACGCCTCCGCTGCGAGGTTCAGTTTCCCTACCTCCCGGCTATCCTCCACCTTCGATCGTTACTCTCGCGATCCCGACTTTCATCCTTTGAATCTTCCCCCCGACGAGCTACGTCGTTTATCCGCCATGGCTTCTGCCGCCGATCGAAGTTCAATGGATATCGATTCGCCTGCCTCTCCTTCCCAGAACACCAATGGTGTGAACGGCGCTCAGACTGACCGGACTCCTACCCCGCCGCCGCACAAGTCCAATGGCTCGGTCGCCGAAGCCGACTCGTTCAAATTGGCGGGCAATAAATTTTTCAAGGACGGAAATTACAATCGCGCGATTGAAGAGTTCACCAAAGGTGAGTATGCATTTTCGTATGTAAAGTAGTCCCACAAGGCTAATTGGTTAGCCATTGAAATCAACCCCAGTTCCTCCATCTACCTCTCCAACCGGGCTGCGGCATATCTCTCTGCCAACCGCTACCTCGAAGCTTTAGAAGATGCAGAGCGCGCTCTGGAGCTGGATCCCGACAACTCCAAGATCATGTATCGTCTGGCCCGCATTCTGACTGCTCTGGGACGTCCGTCCGAGGCTCTCGAGGTTTTGTCCCGTGTTCAACCCCCCGCCTCTGCGACCGACCGTGCCGCTCCTGAAAAGATGCAGCGCTTCATCAAGCAAGCCGAGGAAACCCTGGCGGAAGACCGAGGTGTATCGATGGTGCTGTTCTGCGTTGAGCAGGCACGGCAGCTGCTGGGCCGCGGAGTCAAGGAACCCCGCAAGTGGACTCTTCTGACGGCCGAAGCACAACTGAAGATGGGTAATGAAAACTCGTTGAGGAAAGCGCAGGATATCGCCATTTCTATGCTCCGCGAGAACAACCAGGACCCTGATGCCCTTATGATCCGTGCTCGTGCGTACTACGGCTTGGGAGAATCCGAACAGGCTCTGAAAACACTCAAGATGTGTCTGGGTTTGGATCCCGACATGAAACCGGCGATCAAGTTGCTGCGCACCGTCCAGAAGCTTACACGCACCAAAGAGGAAGGAAACAAAGCTTTCAAGGCCAAGGATTACCGCAAGGCTATCGAGCTGTGGTCCGAAGCGCTCGAGGTGGACCCTCAGAACAAGGACATGAACTCCAAGATCCTGCAGAACCGAGCTCAGGCATACATTAACCTGAAGGAATATGAGAATGCCATCAACGACTGCAATGAGGCCTTGAAACTGGATCCCTCGTACCTCAAAGCGCAGAAGATGCGCGCCAAGGCCTACGGTGGCGCCGGCAATTGGGAAGAGGCTATCCGCGACTACAAGGCGGTAGCAGAGGCCAACCCCAGTGAAAAGGGCATTCAGGAGGACATTCGCCGCGCAGAGTTTGAGCTGAAGAAGGCTCAACGGAAGGACTACTACAAGATTCTTGGTGTCTCCAAGGACGCATCCGAGTCGGAGATTAAGAAGGCCTACCGCAAACTCGCCATCCAGTACCACCCTGACAAGAACCGGGATGGTGAGGCCGGTGACGAGAAGTTCAAGGAGATTGGAGAGGCCTACGAGACTTTGATCGACCCTCAGTAAGTTTCCCGCCGACCTGATGGCTCCGGTAGATTCTAACATCATATAGGAAGCGCGCTGCTTACGACAATGGCGATGATCTCATCGACCCTGCCGACATGTTTGCAGGCCGTGGCTTCGGTGGTATGGGCGGTATGGGCGGTATGGGTGGCATGGGAGGCATGGGTGGTGCCACTCACATCAATATCGATCCCAGCGTTCTCTTCAACATGATGAACGGCGGCGGAGGATTCGCCTCGGCCGGTGGCCATCCCTTCGGCGGCGGCGGCCACCACCATCAGTCTCAGGGCTTCCCTGGTGGATTCCCTTTCTGAACTCAGACTCAACCCGACAGTTTGAACCACGATAGATGAAAAAGATCGTGAAGCGATGTGATTGATACCACAACGACGATAGAACTCTTCTGCTTTGGTCTTGCCTCCTTCATCTGCATAACAGGCCGCTCCGTGCATATGTGTCGTCTTACAAAATATTCCCTGGTTGCATTGCATTGATGGTCTCGGACTGCTCCTGATGCCTGATGCGATAGATTGGCGTCCCTTTTGTTTTCAATTCTTTGCCCTTTTTTCCCACTTTTATCGGCCTGATGGTAACCGGGTCGAGGTTCTTTATCGTTTTGTTTCACTGGCTTGCCACGTATCAGTGGGATTCGAGCAGAAGCAGATCATTTGATTTGAGGCGTGGCGGAAGACATTGTAAGGCGTTATATACTCCATGTACGGTTACTGATTTTTGCTGGGGCATGATGATGCCTCCGTTTGATATGAATGATACATTTTTCCATGGTCGATTACTTGTTGGGATGTTCTCATAGACATGGATACTCAAGTTTATGCCATTGCTGATTCATTCGCGCTTCAGACGAAGACTCTTTCTAGATCATCAAATAATTTCACCCAACATAGAACAGGATTGGCCCCTCCTTGGATTTGAAGGTTACATCCATCCATCCTCCTAGTCTTCTTTCATCGTCCTCGTCGTCGTCGTCGTCGTCGTCTTCCTCATTGTCCTCATCCTCCTCATCTTCACTAATCCTCCCCGTCCCAACCATCGCAGCAACCATCCCCTCTCCGGACTCCACAACTTCCACACCCTCCCCCTCGAGCCTTACGCTCCCACCTTCAGTACGCACATGCACATTCCCAGCCCAAGTAGCCGGGTACGCAACCTCCATCGCCCCATTCCCCGCAACATGACACCCCGCCACAGAGTAATTGGCCTCAGGTCCAGCCTCAGCCTCGGAACCCAAGACATAAGGCTCGGTAACATGAATCCGCTGCTCACCGGCCCTCGTCTCTGTCACGATGGACACATTCCGCCCCATCTCCCTGGTACAATCCTCGCCAACACCACCAATAACTGGGATAAGCATAGCAGTGATATCACCACCGCCCGAAACGAGCCGCGCAGAGCGCGAAAAGACCATTCGGCCTGCGATAGGCCCTATTTCCGTCTGGATGTCCAGCTCGTAGCGACGGGTCGGTAGACCGCAGGTTTTCATGACGTTGGTATGTGGCAGTGAGTCAATACCGTCCTGGTGCAGCTCCATGGCCAGTTCGAGGTCCGGGAGGACGGCTGCCTCTGGTGCGGTGAATGAGACGGTGACTGTCCCCGAGAGGGAACGGATATGCAGCCGCGCTGGCTCGAATGGGTGGTCTGGGTGTGCCGGTTGCGGGGCGATGGCTACGGTGATGTTACCTGTAGTTGTGGTGAGGGATAGGGAGTCGTAGAGGGGGTACACGCCGCGTATGTTCTCGGCGTTGGAGTCGATCGTTATTCTCCGGTCATTGGATGCAGATGCAGGCGCGGGGCTACCCTCGTCGCTGGAGCTGGAGCTGGTGTCTGGAAGATCACCGGTGGATTTGGGCGACTACAGCAATCAGTAGTGTCTATTAACGTGGATGCACGCAATGACTCACCCGAGCACAATACCGAATGACGTTATAAAGTATTACACTGAACCAAACGGCCAGGACAGCCTTGAGAAGGAACAGCAGACAAGTCCATCTGAAGCTTCTGGATCTAGGATGAGCCCGCTTGAAACTGGGGGTCCATTCATCGTCAATCCCGAAGGAAGAGCTTGGCCTGGGACTCGGGGTCGGGCTGAGATGCTTGACATCTCCCATCTCGAGCTCTTTCATCCCGTCTGCTGATGCGGTTCCATAATCTTCGGATTTGGGTAAGAGGGGAGCTGCGCTGTGAGATTGATCCTCGTCTACCATTGACGCCTGATAGGTGAGTGCGGAGTCATGGTGATGGTCTGAAGGACCGACCTCGGACATGATACCGATTTTAGGCAAAAGAATGATACTTTCTAAAGTACTGAGTGGTCGGGTATATGATTTGGAGGATTGTAGAATGGAGCGGATAGCTATTAAGATAGCTAGTAAGACGCTCGCAGAAGAGCATGCAATCTGAAAGTCAATATACAGAATTGTAGGTTACGACATGATGAAATGGGAAGACGAGCGGTTTGGTCTATTCAATGATGGAGCTGTGATGCGGCATACGATGTGATGATGGTGTTTTATGATGATGATGTTGAAGGTGAGGAGCACGTGGATGCGTCACCTCAGAGTCCAAGACATCATAACGTCACTCGCTACCGACTATCTACAAAGATAAACAAAATGCATAGAAGCTCAATTATGTACACACCATATGCAGAGAACGAGAATCTCATTGAAAAAGGTCATTATGAAATAAAAAACAATACAACTCGATCATAACTAGAAATCATCAGGGGAATCTTTGGGGTATTCATAACGAATGTGCTGTCGAATATGCAATGGTGATGAATATGAATGGATGGAGAAAAGAAATGGAAACATCACAGACAATCGCTCAATAGCCAAAAACTATGCAACATAACCAAGGTTCCCCAGCAGCGTCCGGCATTCATTTCCGGCCATGCCCAACACACCTAGTGCTCTGGCCTGTGTGCCCTTGCGCAGACGCTGCAGGCCCACGGCAACCTTCCATCCTTCGGTCTCCTGCAGAACGAAGACATAACGACGACCTTCCTGGTCGCGGATGCTGGCGCGGAGGACATGCAGCCCTCCATGCTCCTCCGCGTCAGGTGATGCCAGTCGGCACTTGTTCTTGCACACCTTCAAAAAGTTGACAAGATTCGCATCCGACTCCTCCGGGGTTGGTTCATTGGCGCTCCGCCGGAAGAACACGTTGGCGGGCTTAGGGTTCGGACGCCCTTGCGCCGTCGCTCCGTACTGGGGACACCACACCTCCACCAATTTCATGGTCCAGGCCTTGACATCCCATTCGCGCTGAGGTACACCTCGGATGTCGTCGTCAATGAAGAGTCCCTCGGTAGTGATGCGCAACACCAGTCCATCTGTCACCATCCCTTGGCCTGATACCAACTGCGCCACAGGATTTCGCAGGAAGGCGTTGTTGAAGGCATAAACGCCTCGGATGACAATCTTGTCCGGATCTTTGGTCGAATAGGCGCCTCGAGTTGAAGGTGGCGGAGTCGTCCGAGCTGTCGACTGCGAAGGGGCATAGGAAGATTCAGAATAGACTGAGGAACCCGATGTACCCGCATACGGTCTGCGGGGTCGGTCGTATGGCCGGAAGGAATAGGCATCATCCTCGTCGGCAGTCGTTGGTGTCCGGGCACTGCTGGGAAACGCTGGCTTTTTTGGAGACGGGGTCCTGGGAGCCGTTGAGGCGGTTGCCGATTTGTTACTTGCTGCTTTCGCCGCTGCCTCCTCTTTAGCTGCCGCTTCCTGCGCATCTTTGGCCTTCTTTTCAGCATACTTCTTCGCAGCGGCTTCCTTGAGCGCGGCAAATTTGGCATCGGCCTCCCTTTTTGCAGCGGCCTTTGCGGCAGCTTCTTTCTCTGCCGCCTCCTTTTCGGCCTTGGCCTTTGCTTCTGCGGCCTCTTTTTCAGCTTTGGCTTTGGCCCTAGCCTCTCTTTCCTTGGCCAAAGCAGCAAGTCTTTGAGCTCGAGCTTCAGCTGCTTCGCGCTCTGCCTTTGTCTTGGCTTCCGCGGCCTCTCGCTCGGCCCTTTCTCTGGCCTCGGCTGCTTCACGTTCAGCCTTTGCCTTTGCTTCAGCGAGTTCGCGCTCGATCTTTGCTCGAGCTTCCGCCGCCTCTTTTTCAGCTCGCTCCCTCGCTTCTCTTTCGGCTTTTTCCTTTGCTGCAGCCATCTCTCTCTCAAGCTGCTCTCTACGCTCTCGGAGCTCCCTCTCCATGGCCTCGCGTTCCCGCTGCTTCTGCTTTTCTCGTGCTTCAGCTTCCCTTTTTCGTTTGAACTCTTCCATCTTCCGCTTGAGCTCCTCCTTTCGCCTCGTTTCTTCACGAGCTCGTTCCCAATCTTCGCCGCTCTTACTTTTGCTTTCGCTCCTGCCAGATGTTGGCTCTGCTTGCTCCGGACCCGGGTCGGCATTCGGCGGTGGGGGCGCGGCGCCAGCGCCATACTGATTCCCGGGATACGGGCCTCCTGGGCCGGTGCCGGCTCCATAATTACCGCCACTGCCGTAGGTCCCTTGCGGCCCTGGATTAGGGCCACCGAAATTGGGCCCTCTCGAATAGTCCGGGCCAGGGCCTGCGCCTGAGGACTGATGGTAAGAGCCGCCACCGCCGGCAGCCCCTTGCCCTCCAAATCCAGTTCCACCAGGGCTCCCAGGGCCCCCTGGCCCAGACTGGCGGGATTGAGAGCTTCCTCCGGAGTCCCGGTTTGTACGAGCTACATGTGCTTGATATGCACCAAACCCCCATCCCGCAATGCCAACGATGGCCGCTAGCATCGCAACGCCCATTCCGCCACCATTGGCGGCTGTCGCAAGATACCATGCCTTTACAATGGGAGACAGTGTCTGCCAGATGTAAACCACCACTAGCGCGGACACAGCGCCGGCCAGGAAGCTATTCCGGTGAGTTTGTAGGGAGGGGAGGTATAGGAAACCAGAACCCGATGAATGAGGTGGGATGATAAAGATATCATAGTTTCCGTCCGGAAGACCGGAGCCTTTCTTGAATCCGTGAGTGGTGTTCGGATTCTCGCCGTGAGGCGGGGGAGGCGGGGGAGGGCCGTCCATCGTCAATCCTTATAGTGTTCAGTCTACAAGCGCTAAGCCCTTGAGTAAGTCTTTGGAGTGCAGCGACTGATATCAGGATCTGAAAGCCGTGGTCGCTCGTTATTGATGAGAAAGACCCGTTCTCAGCACTCTAGTGGGTTTGGTTTTGAATGTGTTATCGTAGAAGTGGCAGGCTGGAGGCATAGACGTAATCGACGATTTTGTTCATATTCTCAGAATCATTGAGACGGCACTGAGGCGTTGTGGCCTCCAGCGCTTGACCTGCTTCTGGAAAGCCGTTGTCAGCGTCCGAAATGGATTGGGGGCTCGATTGCAAACGAAGTACCACTTACATGATATACTATGATAAATTAAAAGCCAGCCTTTTGCGCACCGAGATTATGCCAAAATAACAGCTGGAAGACAATGAACACGATGTGGGTGAGGATGGAAGTGGGATGGAGAGGGAAGAACCAGGCGGCAATGGCGAGGAGGCTGTGGAAACGTGTGATTGATCAGCGGCAGCCAAAGGATTAGGAGATCGATACTACATACGTAATGTTCGCAGATTATTGCCGATTAATTCGTCAAACTTGAAGGACCTGGAAGGACCGTCGAGACTCGTGAAACAGACGGAGAATGGCTATCTTATGTTTATAATTCAGATATTTGTTGACACTCGGACGTTCCTGGGGAGTGCTTCTATATATGACTCTTGCGATATATAGATATGACGATTTCTAACTCATTCGAAGCAACATAGTACCGAATCGCCCCTGATTCTTTCTCTGCACACACCAAGAAGCTAAGAATGAGATAGGGATGCTTCAAGCTATTGAACCTGAACAATAACAGACCTCCTCGTCGGTGCGCAGTCTAAGATTCTAGATGGAACCAGGACACCATGACCAAGTAGCCGCTCCATTAGTGTACCACACTGCCAATCATACATTCTTTTTCAAGATTCAACTTTGAATAAACTCATGAAAGAATCCTCATGTCTCTGATATAATAACTTTTACGATCAAGCTTAACCAGGAGATCTCCGAAGAATGTGCTGGCTCTGACGATTGGCGCATTCTTTGGCAGTCATCAGTGATGGGTGCTACAGCTTTTGTTTGTTTTGAAATTCCTCCATTTGGCGATGGTTCGTCTTACATGGCTGGTTGTTGATTGGTTGGAGATATCTGCATAGATTTGTGTACAAAGATACATTACGTAAACTTATGCCTGCATGCACAGGCAGAGGAGCTTGTCGATCCTTGATGCTGATTTTCCGTATCCTAAGCAAATTCCTCTGGACTGGGTTTTGTTGGGAATTTCCATGGCACTAACAAGATCTCCAAACATAGTTACCTGTGTATGTTCTGCTTGAGACCCTATGCTGCTTTTAAACCGTTTCAAAGTAAAAGATTGACCATTCGACTACCACTCGAGGTATATAAAACAGCGGAGCATTGAGCAAGTGATCTCAATATTATGGCATGCCATTGGGGTTCCAGTAGGTAGATATCCTCTATCATCGATCAGTCAAGGAACGTGGACTATGTTTGAGGTCAAGTTAGCATCATCGGGGTCAGTCGGAGGATGGCCGGCGAATCCCATGATCAGCTGGCGATGGTGCCTGATGATCATGAGGATTGCGACACACAGTCAGTACATCCAGTTACTACAAGGGCTCTTCAATCAATGGTAGACGAAAAGTACCCAGCTGGTAAACACGTAGGGAGATGATTCAGAGATATGACACCAACTCGAGAACCTCAACTAGCACTTGTAGATAGTGATGAATAGTGGCGGTCGGGGAAATGGGAGCCGCCTGCCAACCAACCTCTCAAAACGGTTAGATTCATCCTCCACCATCATCACCGCTGCCTTGGTACCTACGGAGGACCGTAGTTTACTACGGAGTACTGTTAGTTATTCACTGGTACTGCTGCTGCTGGTCAGTTGAGGTTCACTTGGACCAAGATTTGCTTGTCAGCATCTCCATCTTCTTTGACTATCCTACACCTCCTCCTACGGAGTACACCCTATCCGAATCACTGCCCTTTTTCCAGTGGGGGCAGTCAGGTACCGCCTCACATCACTTCTCCGCCCCCGCCAACTGTCCTCATTGTAGATTGGTCTGCTTCCACGCTGAACCAAGATCTATTTCTCTCATTGCCTCCTCCTCTCCTCCTCTATGCAGCGACGATAGATTACGCAGTTTGGCCGTATCGACACTCGCCCTTCCGAGGGCTCACAGTCCATCATGTCCTCGTACCATCCCCCTACCCAAACCTTCCAGTCCCACGCCGCTCCTCCCCGGCCTATACAGACCTTCAACCCGGTTGCGGCTGTCACTGCTCCAGCAGGCACCTTCCTACCGGGGACCAAGGTTCATGTCGGAAGCCATCGAGTTGTGGTTGAGAAATACCTCTCTGAGGGTGGTTTTGCCCATGTCTACGTCGTGCGGCTTTCCCAGCCCGTCGATGGCTCCGATCGAGCAGTCTTGAAGCGGGTTGCGGTGCCCGATAAGGGTGCATTGGCGAATATGCGGACGGAGGTTGAGACGATGAAGAAACTGAAAGGTCACCGGCACATCGTCAAGTACATCGATTCCCATGCGTCCCAGCTGAGAGGGGGTGGATACGAGGTGTTTTTGCTCATGGAGTTTTGCTCCGGGGGAGGTTTGATTGATTTTATGAACACACGGTTGCAAAACCGGCTGACAGAGCCGGAAATCATCAAGATCTTTTCGGATGTGGCGGAGGGGGTGGCCTGCATGCACTATCTCAAGCCCCCTTTGCTGCACCGCGATCTCAAGGTCGAGAACGTCCTCATCTCTTTCCAGGGAAATACCCCTCTGTATAAACTCTGCGATTTTGGCTCTGCGGCTCCACCTCGCCCGGCTGCGACCTCGGCTGCTGAGGGTCGGTTGATTGAGGATGATGTTCAACGACACACGACGCTGCAGTATCGGAGCCCCGAGATGATTGATGTCTACCGCAAACAGCCGATTGACGAGAAGAGCGATATCTGGGCGCTAGGAGTTCTGTTGTACAAGCTGTGCTATTACACTACGCCGTTCGAAGAGGTCGGCCAAATGGCCATTCTGAATGCGAGCTACAAGTTCCATTCATATCCTCCATTCTCGGACCGTCTGAAAGCGCTCATCGGTGAGTTGCCATGTGTGTTTGATTACGCAAAATACTGACAGCAACTAGCGTGGATGCTGAAGGAGAACCCCCAGAAGCGCCCCACTATCTATGAGGTAGTGCGCGAAGTATGCAGCATGCAAGGAAAGGAAGTCCCTATTCGCGATGTAAGTCTTCTGCTCTACCGCCCAAAAACGAATTTAGAAATCTCACGTCTTTTCTACCCTAGATTTATGCCAGTCGCTCTGTTTCGGAAGCTCGTCGTTATCAGGAACTTCCCCCCTCGCCGGTGGAAGCACCTCAAGTGGGAGCGGTGTTCTCCCCGCCTGTCCAGGAAACCCAAATTATTCCCGAAATTGCGCCGATGCGTCGAGGACGTCCGACTAGACCGGATCATTCTCAGCACAACTCGGCGAAAGCAAGCCCGTCTCCCTTCCGCGGTGGTTCTTCCGCAGACCCCTTTGCTGCTCTGGACGGCAGTGGCCACAAGTCGCGAAACTCCATCGAGGAGTTTTCGAATCGCTTCCCGTCGCTTGATGAGTTTCAGATTTTGAATGAGGAAAAGGACAAGTTCGACTTTGAGCCGACCGTCACAGAAAAGAAGTCGGAGGACGAAGATCTTGCGCGGAGACTCACGAATGCTCTTGCGGACGACGCCTTTGCGAAGCGGCCCTCGCCGCAGAATGAAGAACGATCGATCAACCAGCGACCTCAGACGTCTTCTGTGGAAACAAAGCCTGTCGAGCCGCCGCGACATGTTCAAGAGCAACCGTCGCAGCAGGCTCCATTGTATCAACCTGTTCCCCAACGACCCACCATGGTGTCGACCGGGACAATGACCTCGCCTGCACCCACGCCAGGATTTGCAGAGAAGAAATCATCCAGTCGTAATATTTACAGGTTTCCTTCGTCCGATCATCACCGCCAGCCGTCCAATCCGTCTTGGTTGGCTGAGGCGGATCAGAAGTCTGTGAGACCCAACAAGGCGCCCTCGCCTCCAACATCATCGACGAAACCGGAGCCACACCCCAAGGCCTCCTTCGACAAGTTGTCCTCGCTATCATCTGCACCGTCGCGGCCCTCGTTGGACGGGGTGCGACCGAATCTGAACATCGACGGTCGCATGGGCCGGTCCAAGTCGGCTAACGACAAGGCGCGCCCGGTCTCTGTCCATACCGGATCCAGGCTCGAGTTCTCGCGGGGATCCGAGAGCGCTCGGTCATCTCTGGACCTGAGCAGACCGATGTACGACGGCGGCGCGCCGCTGCAGCACGCACGCACGGACATAGACATGTCCGAACGGGCCAATATCTCGTCGGATGTGGACTTCTTGCGTGCCAGAGAAGAGGAACTCAACCGGAAGCGTGAGAAGCGGTACAGTGGCAGCCACAAACACAGTAAGCGCACGAGTCTTTCCACGCTGTCCCTTTCCGGCACCAAGACGTTATTTGCCGGTCGGTTCGGCGACGCTTTCCGCCGCTTCGAGCAGAGCAATCCGGACAAATCGCCGTCTGCCACCGCAGAGGAAGCAGCGAAGCCATTGCCCTCTGTGACAACATCGGAAGTACCCGACTATGCGGCAGATTTGAGTGGCGATGAGAGCAACGAGGATATATCCCCGGAGATGCGGCGCGAGCTCGAGCGCCGGCGGCTTTCGCAGGAGGAGAAGCGAGTGGCGGCGGCAGCGGCCGAGTACCGGCGCCGGGTTGCGGAACAAGGAGAGGGAGGGGCCCGAGTGGTGGGAACCGACGGGCCCAGGTCGTCGGCGATTAAGAACAGGGTGCAGACACTGCTCGGGCAGAGCAACAAGCCTCCACCTCATAAAACGGCGACGGGCTACGGGCGGTACACAGACGAGTCGAGTGCTGCTGCTTTGCAGGCGAAGCAGACGGAGGGCCCACCGGTGTCGCGGCCAGGCACACGGGGCGGAGCCACGTCCTCGGCTCAAGAACAGCAGTCTGGAAGACCGGCGAGCGCTTCCAGGCAGGAGACAGCACGCACGGGATCGCGGCCGATGGCGCCTCCCAAGCCGAAGGGGCTTCGTGTGGGCGGGCCGGACATGGGTCGGTCCTCGGGCGAGGAGCGCAGCCCGACGGCGCAGGCGACACCAAGCAGCCCGGGCGAAGACTGGGAGGCCAGCTTCAGCCGACGGTTTCCCAGTCTGTCTGGACTGGAAATGGTCGAAACGGAGATTGAGATACCGAAGTTTGCTGGTCTGAGGACCAAGGAGGTATAATTGTGCGCGTAGACTTGGCCTTGCATTTTTGGCCTAATTAATATCATATATACATATTGATTTAGATGAACATATCGAAGCAGAAAGTTGCTCGTCCTTAATATCTTCCATTGAAGCAGTGGTAGTTAGAAATTACCACAAAGGGTTAGTGCCGCCCCGCAGTAGCTTCTCCGCCTGCTGCCATTACAGAGATACAGTTTCAAGTCAAATAAATCCATGTCCATCTTCACCACTATATACAGCAAAATGGCCCCAATCACACTGAGCACCGTGGATGGTACGCTACACACACCTTGCCGAAGTCCATATCTGACAGAACAACAGACGACCTCAAAGAGGTAATCCAACACCTCTTCGAGATCCAATCCGCCGTGCACGGCTACCTAGGCCCGGAGACTCAAACCGAGCTCGTCAGGAAAATGTACCCTCCCATCACCTCACCTCTCCTTAGATAACTATGATCTGATGCTGATGCGATGAAATGCGACAGCAAAAACCTCACCCTCGCCCTCTCCACCCTCTCCACACACACCAAACCCCAGCGCCAGGAGCAGGAACAGGGACAGGACGAAGAGCAAAAGGAACAGCAGGGAGAGGCAAAAGACACTCTCGAATCAAGAACGGACGACCCGCTCCTCCGCGACATCCAACTCCCCCCCGAGATTATCGACTACGTCGACGCGGCGCGCAACCCGGACATCTACACGCGGGAGTTTGTGGAGCTGGTGCAGCGCGGGAACCAGGATCTGAAGGGGAAGAAGGAGGCGTTTGCGAGTTTCCGGGATGTGCTTGCTAGGGAGATGAGGAGTGCGATGCCCGAGTGTAGGGGGGAGGTGGAGAGGGTGCTTGCTGCTACTACTGGCGGAGAGTCCCAAGGTTGACACGGAGCAGGAAAGGAAAGGGGTTGTTGTTTCTTTGTCTGGTTGGCTTGGGCTTGGCCGGTTGGGGTTCAATTACGGAGTTTGAAAGTGAATAACGACAGGGATATGGGACATGGCAAGGCGTTAGGAGCGATTTGGGTTTGTTTAATTTGGAGTTTGGGCATGCCTCAGGTCAGGGGGTAATGTAAACTATCTAGGGAGTACGAAGCACATAGAGATTTGCTATTTGTTTAATGAGAAGCAAATTCCGACATTTTGGATGGCCGGTGTTTCTCATGCCGGTAGTAACTGGAACTAAGACAGGCGAAGGATTCGGCGATCCCCTCGCGGAGGTTACCATTACTGTCTTTGCCAAGTTGAAGGCGTTCGAGCAAGGAGATGTAGCATTCCAATTCAATTATGAAGACTCCTTGCGCCGACACGTGCTGGTCATTAACGTTGAGATTGAGATTGAGATCGAGAATGTTTCTGTTTTGGCTCAGCATGTCTGGAGCAAGGGATATGATATGATCCTGAGCAGCGGGCCGGAGTAATAACAGTGCGACACTGGAGAACGTCTGATATTATTATTCGAGGCCTCACCGTGTAACGTTCAACTACAAACTACAGGCAGTAAGATTAGACTTTGTGTCCTCGGGGAGTTAAGGAAACGACACGGACACCGCTGAGCCGATGATGTCAACCAGTCAATTTTATACTCTGGGTAGAGTACGGAGTACGGGGTGGATCGTAATAATCTCCACTGTTGTCGGTAGAGAAGCGGAAGCGAAGAGTAGACAGGTACTCCGTAGACACTTACCGCGCATGCAGCATCAGACCAACAGGCTTAGGGTACAAGCAGAGGTCAGCATAAGCACACCGCATGATTCCCAGAGAGTGACTCTCCCCAATGAAATGAATACGGGATGTTTCGTCTTCGACTGGTCAGGATTCAGGTTGTCGATACATAGTATTGACAAGGAAGAAGGTACGGAGTAGTAGTCAAGTAGATGAAGTCATGCTCGCACGGTCATTATCGTGACCTTTGCGATGATCCACGAGGACTAGCTTGATAGGTCCACTTGACAGCAACGATCAATACACGGACTCCCAGAGTCGCAACTCCGGTCCTATATCGTTGACTGAGGTGAATCAGTCAAGGTACGGAGATATCCCGGAGGATTGAGTACGAGAATCGATCCTAAACTGGACCGACTGATCAGAGACAAGACCAGGGTCTTCGTGGAGAAACCCAGCACAGGTTAGTGACTTGGCAAGTAATAATCAATCAGGGATCGACCTTGTCTATACCCAAGCGGGAGTATGCTGTCAATTGCACACGACACTATCACTATCGCTTGCGGGTGAAGCCAAAGTCTAGTTTATTTGGACATAACGAAGATGTCCTGCGTATTTTTATTGACCGATCGTTCGAGTCGAGTCAACGAATTTGGCCAACAACGTTGGATTGGAAATCTGCCTTTGGCTGAGTAACGGTGATCAAACGGTAAGCCGAGTCGTCACTCGATAGATACTCCGTAGTCAGAGTTTCTTCCTTCCTCCTGTTTGACTACTGTCTGTCGATCAGACTTGGAATCATGATCTCATCTGATTTTGGCTATGGAACTATTGACAGTTGTGGGGACGAGAATATCCACGGATCTTGAAGTCAAAGAGAAAGGCAGAAAACCCTAAATATTACCGAGTTGACCAGTCATATTATCGTGCTTCGGCGTATATCGGTCTATAGATATATCATTCCATCATTTTGGCTTTCTTATTGGTCTCATTCTTCTTAATCACAAAGTAGTGCTGGTGGGTAATCAGGTAGTAAGGATAAAAAATCGCCGTGATAACGCTAATAATACCTAATAGTAATGAGAATAATAATACGGTCTGTGTACAGCCCCGGTTTCTCCCCACGTCTGAAATACTTCCACTAATAATAGTGATGCTGTTCTTGTTACGAGGCGCTACTAATGCTTATTACATTCGTATTGACCCTTCCTCACCTGACTGCTCGAATATTCATTTCCTCTCCCCCAGGATCTCTCTCTTCCCTTTCCACTCCTGGCTTCAATCCCAGTTGCAACAAGTTCAACAACTTCTACACAGCATGCCTCGTATCCCTCTTACCTAGGTCTACAGCATGCCCAATGGGACACGAGCTCCTGGAGATGGCATCACTGGGGGTTATACAGGCGATAGCCTGGCGATGAAAGTCACCATGGCGACTCTGGCGGGAATCACCTGGTATAATGCCATCGAACTCGTTGTCCTCGTCTTCGTCACCTTTAGCAAGTATCATGGCACCTACTTCTGGAGCTTGCTCATTTCCTCGTCCATCGGGCTCATCCCCTACTCGATCGGCTTTCTCCTCAAGTTCTTCCAGTTGACCGACCAGACCTGGCTGTCCGTCACCCTCATCACCGTCGGCTGGTGGTGTATGGTCACCGGTCAGTCCATCGTCCTTTACTCGCGCCTGCACCTGGTCCTGCGCAACCCACGCATCCTGCGCCGCGTTCTCACCATGATCCTCGTCGATGCCGTCATCTTCCACGTCCCCACCACCGTGCTGACCTACGGTTCCAACATGGCCGGTCCCGCCACCGCCCCGGCCTACATCCGCGGCTACAACGTGATGGAAAAGATCCAGATGACCGGCTTCTGTCTGCAGGAACTCATCATCTCGGCTCTCTACATCTGGGAAACCATCCGCATGCTGCGCCTCGACCCGGACCGCGGCAAGCGCAAGATCATGTACCAGCTCGTCGCCATCAACCTCATCATCATCGTCATGGACCTAGGCCTGCTCGTCGTCGAGTACATGAACAAGTACATCATGGAGACCATGCTCAAGGGCGTCATCTACAGCATCAAGCTCAAGCTCGAGTTCGCCGTCCTCGGTAAACTCGTCTACCTCGTCCACAACCACGTCTGGAAATCAGACCCGATCGGCATGGACAACTGCCACCTCCACCACCATCCCCACACCACCAGCTACACCCACCCCGAATACCACTACCCCGACTTCGTCGACGCAACCCGCGTCACATCCGACCTCACGCATGCTATCCCCCCCGCATCCGCCTCCGCAGCTGCCGGCCGCCGCTCCCACCCATGGATGGACTCGGACGACATCTCCATCGCCATGTTCGAGCACTCGGAAAACGCATCGCCCTCGCTCCCAGACCAGGGGACCAGCCAGTCCGAGATCTCGCAGTCCTGGAGCGGCGAGACGCAGCGCGATGTAAGTCCGCTCGATTTCACGGGTTCGCTGCATAAACAGCAAAATAGTATAAGTGGGCCGGCGCCCGATAAACCGGGTTGAACTGCTCCTTTCTTCTTTTCGAGTCTTAACCCTTCAACAAACGAATAATGAGTCACGAGTCACGTCATTCATATCATATCGTTTGTTCATCTCAACTATCTCTAGTTGATTGTATCGAACGATACGGAGGAATTCAACAATTCATACTTGAGATTCTCCACAATTACAGGGTCCGTTCCATGGGTCCCGGAAACCACGCACGTCATCCCGACCCTGGAACCATATCCATATCGCCCCTGAAATACAGGTCCACAGTCGACAGCGCACTGTCCACTGTCCACTGTGAACACTGACGTAGCTAAGGTAGACTACGCTAGCTCTCGGGGCAGCTTCAGGCATATACTGTTACATAACATACTGAGTATAAAAATTATAATCTACTTGATCTACAACCCAATTAAGTCATTACACATGCACAATTACAACCAGAGTCCAGTCAATGCTCAATAGTCAATACAACACAATCATAGCCATAGCAGATAGACGATACCGAGTAGATATAGATGCAACCAACAGCTAATAAAGACATGCTCGCTTCACTCCGCAATCATATCTGAAAACGTCGACTCCCCTCCACAAGCCCATCGGACAGTTTACTCACCCCCGCCCAGACAGGAACATACCGTCTCACCTCGTCCAGCGCCGGAATCACCCCCGCCGTATTCCCATCGCTCCAGAGACAGACTACCCGTCCACTCAGCCCCAGCCCTTTTTCATCGGTTTCATCAGTATCTGCAGCCCACTCCACATCCACAGTCCAGGTCTGTCCCCATTCGCGACTCCAGAGCCGGATCTCCTTCGTGCCGCCTGGAGAAACATGCGGGAAGCGCGGGTCATACGCCGAGTCCGCGACCTTGAATTCCACAACCGGTCTATCAAAGACGAGCTTGCAGGCGCGGGTGCTGCGGCCGGAAATGTTGAACCGGGCTTTTGGCTCGCGGTCGGATTGGGTGATGTTGTACGAGAGCCAGTCTTTCATCTGTGGTGCCTGAGACTGAAACTGAGGCTGAGGCTGGACCACCTGCGGGGAAATCCCATGCCAAGAACACTTGGGTCGGATCAGGTCCAAATCGCAGGTGATGTTCTGGCCGGCGGCGCTGGGGAGGGAGCTGGCGACGTCGTGGACGAAGGGGTATGCGCCGCTTAGGGAGGCATGGTTGACGCCCGTGTCGAGGTCGACCTCCTGGATGAAGAAAAGCTTGAGCCGGTTCGCGGGGGAGAAGGGGAAGGCAACGAGGTTGTAGATCAGGGTGCCGGCCAACACCAACAGCAGGAAAAGCGGGATGTGGTGCGTGTATCGGTGGATAAACGGGAGAAGCGGCATGAAGAGCAGGGTCGTGAGCGCGGCGATGGCAATGTAAATCAAGAGCGAGGAGCTGCCGTCCTGGCCGGTCTGGCGCAGGGCGGACGTAAGCAGCAGCGCGAGAGGTCCCACGAAGATCAGGACGAGCGGTGCGGTCAACAGAAACTGCAGCACCCAGGCCCATTTTGGCAGGTAGATGCTCCAGGCCTGCTCGTGGCCGTATAGGTTGGGCTGGCGCGGCTCGTCGTCGTCGTCGCGAAGATAGTCGCCCGTCACCCGGACGTAGTTGGCAAAGGTGGTGCGCTGTCCGCGCAGCAAAGAGGTCGTCTCCGTGGCCTCCGCCGCGGCTCCGTCGTCATCCTCGTCCTCACCTTCTTCGACATCCTCGCCAGAGGCCGTGCCCAGCCGACTGCCGTGGCTACTGGCCCGCCGGGACGGCAGCGCAAGCTGAGTCGCGTACTCGGACTTGCGCGGTAGAGCAAACAGCTCCAGATACGAGATCCACGTCGCAAGGAACGTCCCCGCAAATGCAAAAAACACGAAATAACCCCCGGCCAGGCTGTACTTGTTCTCGTAGACCGTGGCAATGACCAGCAATACCCACTCCACGAGAAACAGCCAGGTCAGCGTGTACACGCGATGAAACGCCGACGGTCGCGCAAAGTCCGCTACGCGCGAGACGAACCACGCCAGAAAGACCCAGGCGGATACCATCATGCTCCAGACGGCATACTCGCTGCTGTGGATGATGTACGGGTTGAACTTGGTGACCAGATACGCCAGACCCACCGTAACCCCAGTGGGGATCACTAACAGAAAGGGAAACCGAAAGAAGCCCCGAACCCCGTGCAAGGGCACCTTCTCGCTGCCATCGCTGTCCTCCGGCGACGCCGACGATCGGAACAGGTACATCTTGTCCG